GAGCGCTGCTTCACATGGGTCTTTATTCCTCTTTCCTGTTGCCTGATGCAGGTGCTGCCTGAAACATGAATGTGAGCTGCAAATCCAGGGGTTAAGAGGTGCTGCCACCTGGTTTGGGTGAAAAACCTGGATTTAGGGTGGATTCGTGGCCCTATGGGGGTGGTGGAAGTGTTGAAGCATGAGGGGGTCGGAACTGGATGATCTTTAGGTCCTTTCCAACCCAAGCTATTCGATGAGCATCACTTGGTGCTCAGCTCTTAGTGCTTTGTGGTACCTGGGTTTTTTAGCTTGGGAGCTGTTGGGGTGGGAAGAGGGCATCAGAGCAAGCAGCTCTTCCTTATGGAGCTGCTGTGGACGTGCAGCTCCCTCCCTTCCTCCCTGGTGCTCCTTTTGCAGGCTGAAAACCCATGGGTGATGGGAGCAGGACAGGGTGAAGGTGCTTGCAAGAAGAGCAGTCATTGGGAAAGACTGAGGTGGGCTGATGCCAACCTCATGGAGTTTAACCATGCCAAGCGCAAGGTCCTACACCTGGGTTGGAGCAATCCCAGGCACAGCTACAGGCTGGGCAGAGAAGAGATTCAGAGCAGCCCAAGGAGAAGGACTTGGGGGTGCTGCTCGATGAGAAAATGAACATGAGCCGGCTTCAGTGTGCGCTTGCAGCCCAGAAAGCAACCGTATCCTGGGCTGCATCAAAAGGAGCGTGACCAGCAGGTCGAAGGAGGAGATCCTGCCCCTCTACTCTGCTCTCGTGAGACCTCACCTGGAGTATTGTGTGCAGTTCTGGTGTCCTCAACATAAAAAGGACATGGAACTGTTGGAACAAGTCCAGAGGAGGCCACGAGGATGATCAGGGGCTGGAGCACCTCCTGTATGGAGCCAGGCTGAGAAAGTTGGGGCTGTTCAGCCTGGAGAAGAGAAGCTGCGTGGAGACCTCAGAGCAGCTTCCAGTGTCTGAAGGGGGCCTATAGGGATGCTGGGGAGGGACTCTTCATTAGGGACTGTAGTGATAGGACAAGGGGTAATGGGTTCAAACTGAAACAGGGGAAGTTTAGATTGGATATAAGGAGGAAATTCTTTCCTGTGAGGGTGCTGAGGCACTGGAATGGGTTGCCCAGGGAGGTTGTGAATGCTCCATCCCTGGCAGTGTTCAAGGCCAGGTTGGACAGAGCCTTGGGTGAGATGGTTTAGTGTGAGGTGTCCCTGCCCATGGCAGAGGGTTGGAAGTGGATGCTCTGAAGGTCCTTTCCAACCCTAGCTATTCTATGACTCTGTGATTCTAAGACAATGTCGTGGCTGCAAAAGCCTTCTCCATCCATAAAGTCATGGAATGGGTTGTGCTGAAGGGACCTTAAAGCTTCTCCAGCTCCAACCCCTGCCACGGGCAGGGACCCCTTCCACTAGAGCAGGGTGCTCCAAGCCCCTGTGTCCAACCTGGCCTTGAGCACTGCCAGGGATGGGGCACCCACAGCTTCTCTGGGCACCCTGTACCAGCGCCTCAGCTCCCTGATACAAGTCCCCATCCGTCCTGGTGGCTTCTCAGCCGTGGTCCTAGCTGGGGATGTGATCCGGAGGGAAGGTGCTGAGGATGTGCTGGCCGGGCTGCAGTTACCACAGGTAGGAACCGTGGTGAGAAGAAATGAGTGTCCTTTGTGGTGGGATGAAGGGAGAGACCTCGGTTGATGGCCAAGGTGATCCAGTGCTGGTGGGTTCATAATCCCTTCTCATCTGGACTCAGCACCTCGGCGTTGGTGGGAAATGAGCCCATTAATTGAGGGAGATGAAATTGGTCCTTGGTGCTGTCCATAACAGGTCTATGTTGTCCCCTCACTCATCATTTTAGCCTGTTGACCCTGGGAGGTGAATCCAAGTGTTTCTTGGTGGTCCTGACCTAGCAAGGCTTTCCTCATCACCTTGCCCTGGTACTTTGGTCCATCGAGGACATGCTCCTACCGTTGTAGATGGAGTCTTGGTCTGGAAGGGCTCAAGTGACCGGTTGAGATCCATCAACCAGTGTGGAGGGACCCAAACTCATGCAGGTCTTCAACAACAAGGAGCTGGGAGGAGGCTCAGGTCCTCAGGAGCTCAAAGGCTGCTCTGGAAAGGGAAGGAAGGAAGGAATTGTTCTTTACATCCCCTGGAGCAAGGATAAAGGCGTGGGCAATGAGGTGGTGGAGCCTCATGCAGAGAGACATTTATCTGAGCCTCTCTGGGGGCAGAACCTGGTATTCGGATTCACCCCCCGTTGTCTGAAGGGCAGAAAGGATGAGTTGGTGCGGAAACATAACTGGGAATGAGAGAGGAATGAACTGGGAGAGCAGATGGTGCCACTGGTACCTTCTGTGCCAGCAGGGACTGGGTGAGAACACCAAGCTCTGCAGCAAAGCATCTCTGATCCCTCCATAAAACCACCTCCGCTCTTCCTCCCAAGTGTGCCCGGCCCGGGTGGCATCTCCCAAGGACTTGAAACATGGATTGAGCAGATGAGCTTTAAGGTCCTTTCCAACCCAAACCATTCCATGATTCCATGACACCCCTGTGAAGGTCAGGGTTCGGTTTTCAAGCTCCCCTTGAGCTGTTTGGCATCCCCATAGGAGCCAAACCACAGGTTGAGGTTCACCTCCTGCCCTGTCCCCCCACCATGGACTCCCTCCATGCAAAGTCTTCCAGCTTCCTTCTAAACCATGTTGGGATCCAGCTCCAAGGATCCTGGGATCCTGGAACCAGGGGTGATGTTAATCCAGGCAGGGAAGTGGATGGAGGGGTTGAGCTGGGTTAACCCTGGGTGCTGCGTGGAATGGAAAGCAAGGATAGATGGGAGAGATGGGCTGTGTATAGGTGACTTCTCCTTCTCACCTTGGGATGGAAGATCCCAGCAAGAGGCTGGTCCAAGATGGGGACCATGGTGGGGTCTATCCCCACTCCCAGCAAGGACTGAGCACCCAAGCATCCATGAGACAGCCCCAAACCTATGTTTGACCCAACACTTGTCCCCAGTATGTGGCCATGGTCGCTCCTCCATTACCGTTTGGCTCCAAGAGCTCCAAGACATGAGCAGAGGATCAGTTTGGGGTTGTCACCCAGAGATGTTCTCCAAGGGGTGTCATGGCTGTATGGGGTTTGGCTTTCCAGCCTGTGCATCCTCTGTGTACCCTGGGGGTGTTAAGGTCTATGGAAGCTGGTGCCACTGCATTTGGGATGGTGGCAATGCCATGGTCCCCATCACCAACATGCTGCTCACCTGATGGAAGAGTCTTTGGGTGCCTCAGCAGGTCCATCCTTTGGGGTTTGGGTGTCCCAGGGCAGCAGTACAGTGGTGTCTATCACCTGTGGACCTTCATTCCATCATGGACATGCTCTTCACCTTATGAGAGTCTTGGGGTGCTTTGCCATGTCCATCCTCAGGTATTTGGGTTGTCCCAGAGCAGTAGTCTGATGGTGTCTATCACCTAGGGGCATGAGGGACCTTCAGTCCATCATGGACATGCTCTTCTCCTGATGGAAGAGTCTTTGGGTGCCTCAGCAAGTCCATCCTTTAGGTCTTAGGTTGTCCCAGAGCAGCAGTACAATGGTGTCTATCACTTGTGGACCTTCACTCCACCATGGACATGCTCTTCTCCTGATGGAAGAGTCTTTGGGTGCCTGGGCAGGCCCATCCTCTAGGTTTTGGGTTGTTCCTAGGCAACAGTATGATGGTGTCTATCACCTATGGCCATGAGGGACCTTCAGTCCATCATGGACATACTCTTCACCTTATGGAAGAGTCTTGGGGTGCTTGGGCATGTTCATCTTTTGGGTCTTGATTTGTCCTAGGGTAGCAGTATATCAGTGTCTATTACCTGTGGACACAAGGGACCTTCATGCCATCATGGACACGTTGTTCATCAGATGGAAGAGTCTTGGCATACTTGGACATGTCCATCCTTTGGCTTTTGAGGTGTTTCAGGGCAGCAGTACAGTGGTGTCTCCACTTATGGACCTTCATTCTATCATGGATGTGCTCTTCACCTGATGGAGAAGTCTTGGAGTGCTTTGGCATGTCCATCTTCTGGGGTTTCAGTAGTCCTAGGGCAGTAGTATAATGGTGCCTATCACCTATGGGCTAGAGGGCCTTCATTCCAGCGTGGATGTGCTCTTCACCTGATGGAAGAGTCTTGGCATACTTGGACATGTCCAACCTTTGGGTTTTGGGTGTCCCAGGGCAGCAGTATAGTGGTGTCTATCACTTGTGGACCTTTATTCCATCATGGATGTGCTCTTCACCTGATGGAGAAGTCTTGGAGTGCTTTGGCATGTCCATCTTCTGGGGTTTGGGTAGTCCTAGGGCAGTAGTAAAATGGTGCCTATCACCTATGGGCGAGGGACCTTCATTCCAGCGTGGATGTGCTCTTCACCTGATGGAAGAGTCTTGGCATACTTGGACATGTCCATCCTTTGGGTCTTAGGGGTCTCAGGGCATGTACGATGGTGTCTGTCACTTGTGGACCTTCATTCCACCATGGTTGTGCTCTTCTGATGGAAGAGTCTTGGGTGCTTGGGCACGTCCACCCTTTGGCTCTTGAGGTGTCCCAGGGCATCAGTACGATGGTGTCTATCACCTGTGGACCTTCATTCCACCATGGTTGTGTTCTTCTCCTGATGGTAGAGTCTTGGGTGCTTGGGTACGTCCATCCTTTGGCTCTTGAGGTGTCCCAGGGCATCAGTACGATGGTGTCTATCACCTGTGGACCTTCATTCCACCATGGTTGTGTTCTTCTCCTGATGGTAGAGTCTTGGGTGCTTGGGCACGTCCACCCTTTGGCTCTTGAGGTGTCCCAGGGCATCAGTACGATGGTGTCTATCACCTGTGGACCTTCATTCCACCATTGTTGTGTGCTTCTCCTGATGGTAGAGTCTTGGGTGCTTGGGCACGTCCATCCTTTGGCTCTTGAGGTGTCCCAGGGCATCAGTACGATGGTGTCTATCACTTGCGGACCTTCATTCACTGCAGTTTCTCCCCCCAGGACATCCTCCTTGCGATGGAACGCCGGCACCAAGGAGCGGATGCTGATCAAGGTGACGGACCGCGAGCCCAGCTTCCTCATGCACCAAGGCAACGGCTTCGGCCCCGAGAACCCAGCGGGGACCCGCTCGCGGCGCCCGTCCGGCGGCCAACAGTCCCCCAACCTGCAGACCTTCACCCCCGACGCCGACAGCTCCGTCTTCTTCCCCGAGAGGAAGCAGTCGCCCTTCCTGAAGAGGGCCGAGCACGTGGGGAGCTGCTCCCCACTGCTGGGCCGAGGGGACTCCTTCTGCTCCCCGCTCCAAGCCCAGCACCGCAAGCACTCCAGTGAGTCTCAACCTTCCTCCCCCCGCTACGCCTACGAGCCCCCTCTCTACGAGGAGCCCCCCATGGAATACCAAGCCCCCATCTACGACGAGCCCCCCGTGGACATGCAGTACGAAGCCAGTGGGAGCTACAAAGCCGGCTCGCCGCAGAAGTCGCCCATCAGGAAACCTCACCCCTTCCTTCAGTCGCCCAAGCAAGGCTCCAACTCGCCCTACCAGCAGTTGGTGCTCACCAAACAGAAGTGTCCCGACCGGTTCATGAGCTTGGAGTACAGCCCTGCTGGCAAGGAGTACGTCAGGCAATTGGTCTACGTGGAGCAATCGGGCTCCAGCCCCAAGATGAAGACGGGGTTGAGGCACAAATACTCCCCCAACCCCATCGGTGGCTCCTACTCGTTGCAGCACAGCCCTTGCTTGGTCAGGGACCAACGTTTGGAGATCAAATCAGGTGACTACAGCAGCATGGAAGGACCTGAGTTCTGCCCTGGCCCAACCAGTGGCCAGGTAGCACAGGGTGAGGACTCCATGTCATGGTCCAGCCAACAGGACACCATGTCCTCCACCGGTTACTCGCCCTCCACCAGGAAGAGGAAGAGCCGAAAGCCTTCCCTATCCCATGATCCCAACACCTCCTCCACGGATGGATCAGGGGACAGGGATGTGCTGGGGGAGCAGATGCTGGCTGAGGAACGAGCCACCCCCGGGCCCAACAGGTCACCATTGAACCGCACCGAGACCAAGGCAGTGGAGGCCGAGGTGGCACGAGGCTTCCCAGAGCCCTTCCTGGCACAGGCCCGCCTGGCTTGGGAAGCCCAACAAGCCCATTACCACATGAAGCAACGGAGCAGTTGGGACTCCCAGAAGGATGGTTCTGGCTATGAGAGTGATGGAGCCCTCCCTCTGCCCATGCCGGGTCCGGTGGTGAGAGCCTTCAGCGAGGACGAGGCCTTGGCGCAGCAGGAGAACAAGCACTGGAAGAGGAACACCTTTGAGAAGCTGGGCTTCCCCCAGATCCTGCTGGAGAAGAGCGTCTCCGTGCAGACCAACCTGGCTTCACCCGAGCCCTACCTGCATCCATCTCAGGTAATGTCCTTGGGGACATCCTCAGCGTTCATGGTGGGCCCCGTGCCACCAACCCTTGTGTGGCATCTCCTTGGGTTCCTCAGGAGCTGCTTCTCCTCCCATAGTCAGGGACCCAAGCACTCATCCGGCTCCCAAGGGAGCTGGAAGCACCCATTGCTGGGTGAGCTGGGACCCACACGTGGCTCATGTGCTTTGTAGTTACTCATCTCGTGTTCCATGGCACAGCACCATTGGATGGTAACGGTGCCTACTTCCTTTACCAACCCCATGGTGGCTCATCCAGAGCATCCTCCAAGAGCTCTGGATTCTGGGGACACCCAAAATGCCACCTCTGGTCCCTATCCAACTGGAGGAGACCCATAAGTAGGGATGTCCCTTCTGCAGACCCACTGGCGATGGCCATGGCATTGAGAACATCAGCTCCTTTCTGCTCTCTCTACCTGCTTCCGTCTTCAGAGAGGTCCTCTGCTAGAAATGGGTCTTGGCTCCTCAGGTTGTGCCCAACCACAGTGGTTTGAGGCGCTGGAGCAGCACCACTGCCCCTTGGCTTTCACGTTGAGCAGGAACAGGCAGCACCACTTCTGATTTGGGATCCTGACCCACTGACCCACCGACCCACCACTGCATCTCCAGCCATGCCAGTGGTGGTTGAACCCATCACCAGACCCACCAGTAACTGCAAGTTTCCAGGAGGTTTTCCCAGTAGGGACTCAAAGTAATTGAGGAGCTTCATCACCCTGGTGCAGGTTGTCCCATCTGATCATGGCAGCAACCCCATGGAGGTCCCACCTTGGTCTCCTCCATGGTACATTGGGATTGATGGCACTGCCAGCCTGGCTGCCAGATTGGATTTCTCATAGAAACTGGTCCTTATCAAGCTGGACCTTCAGAGTTGGTCCTTAGAAAGCTGATCCCTCAAAGAAGTTGGTTCTTGGCAAGGTGGTCCCTCAAAGTTGGTCCTTCAATGAAGTTGGTCTGTAGGAAGCTGGTACCTCAAAGTTGTCCTTAGCAAGCTGGTCCTGCAAAGAAGTTGGTTCTTGGCCAATGGGTCCCTCAAAGTTGGTCTTTAACAGGCTGGTCCCTCAAAGTTGGTCCTTAGTAACTTGGTCCCTCAAAGAATTAGGTTCTTGGCAAGGTGATCCCTCAAAGTTGGTCCTTAGTAACTTGGTCCCTCAAAGAAGTTGGTCCTTGGCAAGCTGGTCCCACAGAGTTGGTCCTTGGTAACTTGATCCTTCAATGAAGTTGGTTCTTGGCAAGGTGGTCCCTCAAAGTTGGTCCTTCAATGAAGTTGGTCTGTAGGAAGCTGGTTCCTCAAAGTTCTCCTTAGCAAGCTGGTCCTTCAAAGAAGTTGGTTCTTGGCCAGTGGGTCCCTCAAAGTTGGTCTTTAACAGGCTGGTCCCTCAAAGTTGGTCCTTAGTAACTTGGTCCCTCAAAGAAGTTGGTTCTTGGCAAGGTGGTCCCTCAAAGTTGGTCCTTAGTAACTTGGTCCCTCAAAGAAGTTGGTCCTTGGCAAGCTGGTCCCACAGAGTTGGTCCTTGGTAACTTGATCCTTCAATGAAGTTGGTTCTTGGCAAGGTGGTCCCTCAAAGTTGGTCCTTCAATGAAGTTGGTCTGTAGGAAGCTGGTTCCTCAAAGTTCTCCTTAGCAAGCTGGTCCTTCAAAGAAGTTGGTTCTTGGCCAGTGGGTCCCTCAAAGTTGGTCTTTAACAGGCTGGTCCCTCAAAGTTGGTCCTTAGTAACTTGGTCCCTCAAAGAAGTTGGTTCTTGGCAAGGTGGTCCCTCAAAGTTGGTCCTTAGTAACTTGGTCCCTCAAAGAAGTTGGTCCTTGGCAAGCTGGTCCCACAGAGTTGGTCCTTGGTAACTTGATCCTTCAATGAAGTTGGTTCTTGGCAAGCTGGTCCCTCAAAGTTGGTCCTTGGTAACTTGGTCCCTCAAAGAAGTTGGTCTGTAGGAAGCTGGTTCCTCAAAGTTCTCCTTAGCAAGCTGGTCCTTCAAAGAAGTTGGTTCTTGGCCAGTGGGTCCCTTGAGGTTGGTCTTTAACAGGCTGGTCCCTCAAAGTTGGTCCTTAGTAATCTGGTCCCTCAAAGAAGTTGGTCCTTGGCAAGATGGTCCCACAGAGTTGGTCCTTGGTAACTTGGTCCCTCAAAGAAGTTGGTTCTTGGCAAGCTGGTCCCTCAAAGTTGGTCCTTGGTAACTTGGTCCCTCAATTAAGTTGGTCTGTAGGAAGCTGGTTCCTCAAAGTTGTCCTTAGCAAGCTGGTCCTTCAGAGAAGTTGGTTCTTGGCCAATGGGTCCCTCAAAGTTGGTCTTTAACGGGCTGGTCCCTCAAAGTTGGTCCTTAGTAATCTGGTCCCTCAAAGAAGTTGGTCCTTGGCAAGCTGGTTCCTCAAAGTTCGTCCTTACTAACTTGGTCCCTCAAAGAAGTTGGTTCTTGGCAAGCTGGTCCCTCAAAGTTGGTCCTTGGTAACTTGGTCCCTCAATGAAGTTGGTCTGTAGGAAACTAGTTCCTCAAAGTTGTCCTTAGCAAGCTGGTCCTGCAAAGAAGTTGGTTCTTGGCCAGTGGGTCCCTCGAGGTTGGTCTTTAACGGGCTGGTCCCTCAAAGTTGGTCCTTAGTAATCTGGTCCCTCAAAGAAGTTGGTCCTTGGCAAGATGGTCCCACAGAGTTGGTCCTTGCTAACTTGGTCCCTCAATAAAGTTGGTCCTTAGTAACCTGGTTCTTCACAGAGGTTGGTCCTTGGCAAGCTGGTCCCTAGAAGTTGCTCTTTGGCAAGGTGGTTCCTCAGAGTTGGTCCTTAGTACCGTGGTCCCTCAAAGAAGTGGAAGCCTCCTGTGGTGGCCCCAGAGCAGCCCAGGCAGGGAGCTGTGTGTTGGGGCCTGTCACAACATCCATGCCACCAAGATGGGCCAGAAACAGATGAAAACTGGAGCAGAACAGCACTGGGGATGATGTGGGGAGATACAGAGACCTGGCAGAGGAAGGGGAGCACGCAGGCGATGATGGGGCACTGCAAGTGACAGGGACATGCCCAGTGTCACCCAACCCCATCCATGTGCCACCAGGCACCAGGACCTTCCCCACCACCACGCTTGAGTTCTCCTAATCCCTGAGCTGAAAGGAGGGATCCCGACCCCATGGGATGGGCATGGAGGTCATGGCCAGCTGCCCTTGACACCTTCATCTCCTTGTTGGAGGCCCAAGCTTCCAAGTTCATTTAGGACCGTGCTGATTAGAGCTGGACTTCGCTTTAGATCAGCTCCAACAGCAGAAGATCCATCCCATTCTGGTGCCTGTGTCCTGACCACACCATCCCCTGGTGAGGACTTGGCTGATGTCCTCAGTCAATGTGGTCCTGTGCTTCTCCATGGTGGTGGTGGCCCAGCTCATGGACCATGTTTTGGAAGAGCCATGGCAGCAGCAAAGCCTGAGGGCAAACGCTGCCTCTCCTTCCACCCAGAAGTGCCTTGAGCTGAGCAGCAGGTTGGAGGACACACAAGGACCTTTTGGGTGATGTGGCCTTCATAGGAGCAGCAGGGATGGGTCCTCAAGGGGGGGAAGCTCCCATGTCCCCATGGCCAAGTCCCTGCTGTTGCCACCATGGTGCAAGATGGGAGCTGAGAGATGTCCATGGGTAGAGGAGACCTCAACACTGAGAAGGGATGAGCTGTTGAGGCCAGGACCTTGGAGTGTTTGAAGCAGCAGCAGCTCTGATGGCTCTTCAGGTGGCTTCATTGTCCTCTGTTGAACTTGCCACCTCCCCATGGCCCTGGCTCTTCCCACCCTGGTTCTACCTCCTGCTTTTCTTCTTCTGTTCCTCATCTAAAGCCCAACCTCAAGGCCTGGCACTGCTGTGGTCACCTTGTGCATGGGCCCTGCTTGAAGCCACCAGCGTGGTCTCCCACTCACGGTGGGGACAACAGTGTCACCTTCGCTGTGGCATGTCCTTCCCTACCACGGGAACGGCTCCAGGGCCACCAAGCCCAGGAGCTGCTGGCCCAGGGGCTAACAGATCATGAATCCACCATGTTGGTTGGCTGCAGGAGCAGGGACCAGCCCATCTCGAGTGTCCTTTGTTTGCCTTTCTCCATGGTCATCAGCTGCTTGGGGGTCCCTCTTCCTCCTGGGGTGATACCCATGGGCTGGGCTGGTTCCAGTAGGACACTGGTCTCCAGGGGTGCCCTTTGCTCTGCAGAGGTCCTTCCTGCTGGGTGCTCTTCAGACAGGGTTAGGTCCAGCTTGTGTCCCTCTGCACATGGGATGCAAAGCACCAACATCCATGTTCCTCATGGCTTGAGGAGCCACCAGCCTCCTCCTGGGGATGTGAGCGATGGAGAGCTCTGCTTGAAGGTGACTTTGGGAGGCTCATTACAGGGGTGTCCCCTACCTGGTGCGCCTGAAGGGCTGGTGGAGCATGAAGCCACTTGCTCTTTGCTTCCTCCACATCAATAGCCCCCAGCTCTGTCTGTCCATGACTGCAAAGCCCGAGTGACCGTGGTGCCAGGTGAGAAGGGGCTCAGAACATCTTGAGTGGCTTCAGTTGTGCCCATTGATCCCCTTCCTCCTGAGACCCATCACAGGGGTCTTGGTCAGTGGCACCACTGACCATTGAGGAGATCCTTGGGTGACTGGTTGCTTTGATGGTTGGCTTGATGGATGGGTGCATGGATGGATAGTTGCTTGCTTGGTTGGTTGGTGGGTTGGTGGTTGGGTGGGTGGATGAGTGGGTGGTTTGTTGGATGGTTGAGTGGTTGCTTGCTTGCTTTGATGGTTTGGTGGATGGATGGATGATGGATGGATGGATGATGGATGGATGGATGGATGGATGATGGATGGATGGATGAAGGATGGATGAGTGGATAGATGGATGGATGATGGATGGATGGATGGATGGATGGATGATGGATGGATGGATGATGGATGGATGGATGGATGATGGATGGATGGATGGATGGATGAATGATGGATGGATGGATGGATGGATGAATGGATGATGGATGGTTGGATGATGGATGGATGGATGGATGGATGGATGGATGGATGCATGCATGATGGTTGGATGGATGGATGGATGGATGATGGATGGATGGATGATGGATGGTTGGATAGATGGATGGATGATGGTTGGATGGATGGATGGATGATGGTTGGTTAGATGGATGGATGGATGGATGATCGATGGATGGATGGATGCATGCATGATGGTTGGATGGATGGATGGACGGATGGATAATGGATGTATGAATGAATGATGGATGGTTGGATGGATGAATGGATGGATGGATGGATGGATGATGTTTGGATGGATGGATGGATGATGGATGGATGGATGGATGGATGGATGGATGGAGGATGGATGGATGGATGGATGGATGGATGGATGGGTTGTTGGGTGGGTTGGTTGGTCAGTCGTTTTGTTGGTCGCTTGCTGGGTTGGTCGGTTTGGCAGTACAACCAATGCCATCAGTAACACGGACTTCTCTGGCTGTTGTCTCCTAGTCAGAGGACCTGGGTGCCTGCGCGCAGTTCGAGAGCAGCAGGCAGACCAGGAACATGATGCCCAGCGCCAGCTGCGTCTTCCCCACCTTCAACCTACGGAAACCCTCCTCGGAGACGGACATTGAGAACTGGGCCTCCAAGCACTTCAACAAGCACACCCAAGGGCTCTTCCGGAGGAAGGTGTCCATCGCCAACATGCTGGCCTGGAGCAGCGAGTCCATCAAGAAACCCATGATCATGACCAACGACCGCAACGTCAAGAAGGAAGCTTGTGAGATATTTAAACTGATTCAGATGTACATGGGGGACCGACGGGCCAAGACGGACCAGCTCAACGTGGCTTTGGAGATCGCCACCAAGGGTTGGAGCATGCAGGGGCTGAGAGATGAGCTCTACATCCAACTGTGCAGGCAGACCACCGAGAACTTCCGATACGAGAGCCTGGCCCGGGGCTGGGAGCTCATGGCCATTTGTTTGGCCTTTTTCCCACCCACTCCCAAATTCCATTCCTACCTAGAAGGATATATCTACAGGCACATGGATCCAGTGAATGACACCAAAGGTAAGGGGGAAACCACCGCCCTGGTGGCCTCTGCTCATCTTACAACCCATTTGTTCCTTTTTTTGCCTTCACGACTTTTCTGGTTGGAAGATGGGTGAGGAACTCATCTGCATCCCTGCTGGAGGTGCAGTGAACCTGGTGGGGCCTTCACCACCTCAGCACATGGAAATCCAGCGTGAGACCCAACACGAAATGAGCTTTGACACCTTTGCTGCAGGTTCAGTGTCACCTCCTCTGGAGGTGGCCACAAGCGAGAGTTTCAGAGGTCCCTTCTAACCCAAACCATTCCATGAGTGATGATTTCACCTTCATCTCCATCTCTTGTGGCTTCTTGTGGCTTCTAGAGTAGCTTTGGACCAAAAATCACCCCATGGTGGAAGGGTATCCAGCTTGATTCCCAGCTCTCAAGATGGGTTTTGGTCATGGTAGATAGAAGAGACATTGATTTGGGCTATTTGACCTCAAATTGGTGGCCCCTCTCTAGTCCTGGGCTTGGCCATTGCTGCTCCTTCATTACTGGTGCTGTTTCATGGGTGATGGGGTCTGGTCTGGCAGGAGCATGGATGGAAGTTGGGCATCACCACGTCCCGTGGGTGAGGCACAGGTTTAGGTCCAGGAGGTCCATGGAGGAGGAGGTGAGGAGGAGGTCCATGGATGAGGAGGACCAGGAGGTCCATGGATGAGGAGGTGAGGAGGAGGTCCAGGAGATCCATGGATGAGGAGGTCCAGGAGGTCCATGGATGAGGAGGTGAGGTGGAGGTCCAGGAGGTCCATGGATGAGGAGGACCCAGAGGTCCATGGATGAGGAGGTGAGGAGGAGGTCCATGGATGAGGTGAGGTGGAGGTCCATGGATGAGGAGGACCAGGAGGTCCATGGATGAGGAGGAGGTCCAGGATGTTCATGGATGAGGAGGTGAGGAGGAGGTCCAGGATGTCCGTGGATGAGGAGGTGAGGAGGAAGACCAGGAGGTCCATGGATAAGGACGTGAGGAGGAGGTCCAGGAGGTCCATGGATGAGAACATGAGGAGGAGGTCCAGGAGGTCCATGGATAAGAAGGTGAGGAGCGAGTCCAGGAGGTCCATGAATGGGCCATTGGGAAATGGAGCCTGGATGCTTCCTGGTGCCCTTTGGCTCCCTAGAGACCAGGCAGGAACATCTGGAGGACACCAACATCAGGTGGAGCCGGGGTGGATCTGCCCAGCTTGGGGAGGAGAGGAGAGGAGAGGAACCCAACCACGGTGTCCATGGGGGGAGCTGTGGGGTGGCTGAGGAAGCCCCAGGGGTGGTGGGACAGGATGGGTTGGTACCACCAAGGTTGGGAGGCCTGGGGCTGCCCATGTCCCCCCGCAGCAGAGGTGTCAAAGGGAGTCCATGGCTGTGGTGTCGGGTTCGGAATGTCGGCACTGGGAGCTGCTGCCTGCCCCATGGTTCATTTCCTTTGGGATCCTCATTTATGGTCAGGTTCGGTTCGTTGTCCTGGTGTTTGTGCCATCTGCATTTGGGATTTTGCTCGTGGTTCAGTTCCTCGTCGTGCTGTTGCTGTTTCATTTCTAATTTTAGTTTCAGTTGATTTCACGTTTTGCATTTGTGTCTTTTTTTAATTTTCATTACCATTTATTTTCATTCTACTTCAATATTTCAATTTTTATTTAAATTAATAAAAAGAGAAATACCTTTCTATTTATTTATATTCATTTTTTCATTTCAGGTTTCCTTGTTATCGCAGTATTATTTTGGTTTTAATTACCTTTTATTTTCATTTTTGCTTTTATTCTGATTTTCATTTTAATTTTTTTATTTCACTTCCATTTTCATTTTCATTTTTCTTTTTTGTTGCTCATTTATTTTTCATTTTTACTTCTAGGTTTTATTGCATTTTCCTTTCCATTTTGATTTTCTTTTTCTTTTCATTTATTTCTATTTTTATTTAGTTTTTCTTTTTCTTTATATTTTTTTTATTCCATGTTTTATTACTTTTTAATTTTTATTTCTATGTTTATTCTATTTTCTGTTCTTTATTTTTAGATTTTTTATTTTCACTTTGTATTTTTCTTCTTTTATATTTATTTAGTTTTCACTTTCATTTTCCTTTATTTCCATTTTATTTCGGTTTTAATCTTTACGGGTTTTGTTTACTTTCATTCTTTTTGCTTTTATTTCTATTATTTTAGTTTTACTTTCATTTTCTTTTCTTTGTATTCTGATTTTTTCACATTTTTGTGTATTTTCATTTTTGCTTTTTATCCTTTGATGTCTGTTTTATTTAGATTTCCTCTTCATGTAATTTGCATTTATCTCCATTGGGTTTTTATGTTTTCACTTCCCCCCATTCCCATCGTTTTGATCATTGTTGTTCTTTATTTGCACGTGTTTCAGTCCCAGTCTCATTTCTGTTCCCATTTCTGTTCTGTTCCCATCCTGTCGCATTCCATCCCTCCCCGATCCCCGTTTCCCAGTGACCCGGCACATAAACGACCTCCTGGAAAGGACCAATAAGAAGAAGCCCAAATTGAGAAAGAAACCCAAGCCCCAGCTCGAGGAGCTCGAGGGTAGGGACGGCCCCGCGGCGCTGGCACCCCGGTGACACGGGGATGTGCTCATAGGGGGCTGGATGGAGCTGGAGCCCTTGGGGCATGGATGGAGAGGAGATACAGAGATGGAGATGCAGGGACTGATAATGGAGTTCATAAATAGCTATCTGCTATAGAGATATATTGGGGTAGATTAGATACTGTCATTTGTGTTTTCATATTATAGATGATGTTGTGTATTAAGTGTATAATATTATATATCAAGTTTAGAACATTATATATATACATTATATATATGTTCTGTATAACATTATAGATAATGTTATATATGGATATATAATATTGCATCATATCGATCATATATATTATTGTTATCTATAGTATCTATTATATATGGTATGTATTATATATTATAGTATGCAGTCTATAGTATATATTATATACTAGGTATAGCATACTATAAATCGTATATGTCATGTATTATAAATTATATACTCCATATTATATATTATGCCATAATGTTATATATATTTAATATTCTCTATCGTGTATGTCAGTATATATATGATATAATGAACATATGATAACATGTAAAATATTACATCATTATACTTAATATTATATATCATATATCATAATGTACTTGTCTATATATGATATATAATGTACATGAATATATGGTATATACAGCATTATGCATTAATATATAATATGACATGTAATATTTTGTGTAACAGCATACTTATACTTTCTACGTAATGTTATATAAAACCACATACTTTTATATATAATGCTATTAATTTAATATACAAGATCAGATTTTATATGAATACCCCCATTTTTGCTACAAAATATAAGTATAATCATTTAATATAGAGGATGATAAAAAATGCCAGATATATATCAAACACCCTACATAATATTTTTATAAACACAGTTTTATCATATTTTATTAGTATATCTAATGTAGGATAGGATATTAGAAACAGGAGTAATTAAATAATACATAATATTTTGGTTTTATATAATGTTATATATAATAGTATGTAGACAAATTAGCATAATTAATATCACTAATATGAATTACAGGTTTGTATTAAATAATTTTATAGATAAATCTATATGGGTAGATAGAACATAATTCATATGTAATATTATTAATGTAGTAGCAATTAATAACTAATTAATAACTGATAATTAATAAGTAATTAACAAGAGGGGAAAGTAGGGACTTCACTAACTAGAGACACATAGAAGGTGTTGTCGGGTTTACTCAGTGATGGATGGATGGATGGATGGATGGATGGATGGATGGATGGATGGATGGATAATGGATGGATGATGGATGGATGGATGGATGGATGGATGGATGATGGATGGATGGATGGATGGGTGGGTGGGTGAATGGATGGATGGATGGATGGATGGATGGGTGGATGATGGATGGATGGATGATGGATGGATGGATGGATGGATGGATGGATGGATGGATGATGGATGGATGATGGATGGATGGATGGATGGATGATGGATGGATGGGTGGGTGGGTGAATGGATGGATGGATGGATGGATGATGGATGGATGGATGATGGATGGATGGATGGATGGATGGATGGATGATGGATGGATGATGGATGGATGGATGGATGGATGATGGATGGATGGGTGGGTGGGTGAATGGATGGATGGATGGATGGATGGATGATGAATGGATGAATGGATGGATGATGGATGGGTGGGTGGGTGAATGGATGGATGGATGGATGGATGGATGGATGGATGGATGATCATGGATGGGTACCACCACCCCTGGTGCCAAAGTCATCACTGGTGGGGGTGATCTGGCATCCCTCTGGGCTCTGGGGGGATTCCAGGTCTCCAGATCAGGATGTTGGTGAACACTCAGCATCCAGGTGACACCAAAAGGTTCCTGGTGCAGGATGAGGGGCCTCAACCTGGAGCCACACCAGTGGTGGGACCTGGAACCTGTGGGTGGAGGCACCTGAGAAACAGCTTTAATGGCCACCATGAATTAAGGTTGTGTTCAGTATCTCCATCAATGGGGTAGATGGTGGGGTCTAGTGCACCCTCAGCACCTTTGGAGATGCCACCAAGCCTAGTGATGGGGTTGACCCACCTGAGGGACCTGTGTGGACCTCATGAGGTTCAATAATGGAGCAGCAGCCTGGTTCGGTGGAAGATGTCCATGCTCATGGAATGGTGGTGGACCTAGATGGTCCCTTCCAACCCAAACCATTCCATGTTTCCATGAATGGGCACCAGATTTGTAGTCACCAGGTCCTGGACATCCCCCAGGCTCCCTCTTTTTGGGGTGGCTTCAGATCCCCCCACATCTCCATCATCTCCTCAAGGGCATTTGCAGTTCCAAAAACCCATAGGAGGAACCCTTTGAAGACAACAGCACTGGGGATGGAGGGAAAAGGGATGATCCCAAGTCTGGTTTTAACCAAAAAGCACCATCAGGGGCCACCAGGAGCTGCCAACCACCAGGAGCCCTTTTCCCCCTCTTTTGCACCAATATTTAGTAGGAAGAGCACGTTTTAAGCTCCTGGCCCATCCTTCTTCCAGAAGGTACCACCAGGTCCCCAGGGCTCTTGGCTATGGGCTGCAGGAGCATCTTACATTGGGACGAGCCCATTGGGATGCTCCAAGGGTTGAGGGTTGTTGAAGGGCATCATGAGGAGGGGATGGGTGGTGTGGAGGGGGATGAGGGTGGAAGCAGTGGCATCAGGAGGAGAAGGGGTGGCAAATTCATCCCTGGAAACCCCAGTATCCCAGCTGAGGCCACCACAGTGAGTGGGGATGGGGATGGAGCTGAGGGGTCTCCATGGTTGGTGGGTACAAGGACACGAGGTTCTTGGGGAGCAGGTTGAGTTTTGGGGACCCCTCATCCTCCTCACCCCCCCCCTCCCCTTGAGGAGCAGTGATGGGGACAGGGATGGATCTGCCCCACATCCCATGGGGACGCTGGCACCATCCTGGAGCTGGGATGGGTGTCACCTCCCCAAGCCCCCCCACCATGGGCCTCCATGACCTGGAGGTGACGCCTCAACCTCTCTCTTCTCTCTTGCAGGGGTGGCAATAAGCACTTATGCCAAGTACTGCTACAACAAGCTGCAGAAGGCAGCTCTGACGGGCGCCAAGAAGGTATCACCCAACTGCTGGCCCCCCATTGGGACCACTGGTGGGGTTTGGGGAGGAGGAGGAGGAGGGATGAAGCTGGAGAGCAATGGGAATGATGCAGCAGCCGGTGCTGGACCTGGGGTACCTCCAGCGTGGTTCACCCATCAGTGCATCTTCTCTGAGGAACATCTGGGGTTCTCCTTGGGGTCTCCCAGGTCCTTCCATAGACCAAGGGATCGAATAGGGATTGAGGAGATGATCCTGGGAGCTGAGGATTGAGAGGATGCTCCAGCAGCTCCCAGGTCACCATGGACCTCACCAATCAGGGCCATCCCCATGGCCCATCGCTGCCATCAGGGCAGTGCTTGAGTCCTTTAGAATAGACCCTAAATAGGGATGAATTTAGAGCTTGGGGTTCTCCTCCTGGTCCCATCAGCCTCAGTTTCCCCATCCTCGTTTGATGGGGATGGAGAAGGGATGGTGGGATCCCACCTCGGTCCTCATGGTGACATCTGCCCAGACAAGGCCTGGTGGAGGGAGGGGATGTGGCATCCATTGGGATCACTGTGGGCTCGGTGGTGGATGTGTCCTGCTGAGCTTTGGAGGCAAAGACAGGGGTGGAGGACCTGGAGGTGAAGCCCAAGCTCCGATGGCTTCTCTTGGTGGCTCTGTCTGGAGAGGAGATGCTTGGGCAGATGCAGCTGATGGGGAACTGCGTCCATCTCCTCTGCATCCCACCCCAAACACATCCATCCCTTTCCATCCCACCACACACATCTCCATCCACCTCCTCTTCCACATCCCACCATGCACATGGCTGCTGTGTCCATCCCGTCTGCATCCCACCCTGTCCACATACATTGCATCTGCCTCTCTCCATCCCATCACACACCTGCCTGCTCCATCCATCTCCCCTTGTGAATCCCACCAAACACATGGCTTCTGTGTTCATCCCATCAGCATCCCACTATGTCCACATCCATCCCATCCATCTCTTCTGCGTCCCACCATGTCCACATCCATCACATCCATCTCTTCTGCATCCCACCATGTCCACATCCATCGCATCCATCTCTTCTGCATCCCACCATGTCCACATCCATTGCATCCATCTCTTCTGCATCCCACCATGCCCACATCCATCACATCCATCTCTTCTGCATCCCACCATGTCCACATCCATCGCATCCATCTCTTCTGCATCCCACCATGTCCACATCCATTGCATCCATCTCTTCTGCATCCCACCATGTCCACATCCATCGCATCCATCTCTTCTGCATCCCACCATGTCCACATCCATCGCATCCATCTCTTCTGCATCCCACCATGTCCACATCCATTGCATCCATCTCTTCTGCATCCCACCATGTCCACATCCATTGCATCCATCTCTTCTGCATCCCACCATGTCCACATCCATCACATCCATCTCTTCTGCATCCCACCATGTCCACATCCATCGCATCCATCTCTTCTGCATCCCACCATGTCCACATCCATTGCATCCATCTCTTCTGCATCCCACCATGTCCACATCCATCGCATCCATCTCTTCTGCATCCCACCATGTCCACATCCATCGCATCCATCTCTTCTGCATCCCACCATGCCCACATCCATTGCATCCATCTCTTCTGCATCCCACCATGTCCACATCCATTGCATCCATCTCTTCTGCATCCCACCATGTCCACATCCATTGCATCCATCTCTTCTGCATCCCACCATGTCCACATCCATCGCATCCATCTCTTCTGCATCCCACCATGTCCACATCCATCGCATCCATCTCTTCTGCATCCCACCATGTCCACATCCATTGCATCCATCTCTTCTGCATCCCACCATGCCCACATCCATTGCATCCATCTCTTCTGCATCCCACCATGCCCACATCCATCGCATCCATCTCTTCTGCATCCCACCATGTCCACATCCATTGCATCCATCTCTTCTGCATCCCACCATGTCCACATCCATCGCATCCATCTCTTCTGCATCCCACCATGCCCACGTCCATTGCATCCATCTCTTCTGCATCCCACCATGCCCACATCCATTGCATCCATCTCTTCTGCATCCCACCATGTCCACATCCATTGCATCCATCTCTTCTGCATCCCACCATGCCCACGTCCATTGCATCCATCTCTTCTGCATCCCACCCTGTCCACATCCATCGCATCCATCTCTTCTGCATCCCACCATGCCCACATCCATTGCATCCATCTCTTCTGCATCCCACCCTGTCCACATCCATTGCATCCATCTCTTCTGCATCCCACCATGTCCACATCCATCGCATCCATCTCTTCTGCATCCCACCCTGTCCACATCCATCGCATCCATCTCTTCTGCATCCCGCCATGCCCACATCCATTGCATCCATCTCTTCTGCATCCCACCATGTCCACATCCATCACATCCATCTCTTCCGCATCCCACCATGCCCACATCCATCACATCCATCTCTTCTGCATCCCACCATGTCTACATCCACTGCCTCCGTCTCTTCTGCATCCCACCATGCCCACGTCCATTGCATACATCTCTTCTGCATCCCACCATGTCCACATCCATCGCATCCATCTCTTCTGCATCCCACCATGTCCACATCCATCGCATCCATCTCTTCTGCATCCCGCCATGCCCACATCCATTGCATCCATCTCTTCTGCATCCCACCATGTCCACATCCATCACATCCATCTCTTCCGCATCCCACCATGCCCACATCCATCACATCCATCTCTTCTGCATCCCACCATGTCTACATCCACTGCCTCCGTCTCTTCTGCATCTCACCATGCCCACATCCATCACATCCATCTCTTCCGCATCCCACCATGCCCACATCCATCACATCCATCTCTTCTGCATCCCACCATGTCTACATCCACTGCCTCCGTCTCTTCTGCATCTCACCATGCCCACATCCATCACATCCATCTCTTCTGCATCCCACCATATCCACATCCATTGCATCCATCTCTTCTGCATCTCACCATGTCCACATCCATCACATCCATCTCTTCTGCATCCCACCATGTCCACATCCATCACTTCCATCTCTTCTGCATCCCACCATGCCCACATCCATCACATCCATCTCTTCTGCATCCCACCATGCCCACATCCATTGCATCCATCTCTTCTGCATCTCACCATGTCCACATCCATCACACCCATCTCTTCCGCATCCCACCATGCCCACATCCATCACATCCATCTCTTCTGCATCCCACCATGTCTACATCCACTGCCTCCGTCTCTTCTGCATCTCACCATGCCCACATCCATCACATCCATCTCTTCTGCATCCCATCGTGTCCACATCCATTGCATCCATCTCTTCTGCATCCCACCCTGTCCACATCCATCGCATCCATCTCTTCTGCATCCCGCCATGTCCACATCCATTGCATCCATCTCTTCTGCATCCCACCCTGTCCACATCCATCGCATCCATCTCTTCTGCATCCCGCCATCTCCACATCCATTGCATCCATCTCTTCTGCATCCCACCATGCCCACATCCATTGCATCCATCTCTTCTGCCTCCACCCACTGCATCCATCTCTGCATCCCACCACACCTGCTTCTCCTGTGGCCCGCTTCACTTTCCAATCCAGACAATGGCTGAAGGCACCAGCCCGGTGCCTGCCTTTCAGCTCTGAGCCGCTGGGCATTGGACACCTTGCCCGGCTTGGTGGGACCTCACCATGGCCCCATGCCCTGTCCCCATCCCACAGCGAGCTCAGGACCATGGGGACCCACGTTCCCCAGCCCAGCCCTGGGGACTCCATCCCATCCCCTGGCTCCTTGGTGACGCCCCCATTGTCCCCTTGCAGGGCCTGAAGAAGCCCAACATCGAGGAGATTCGCCACGCCAAGAACGCCGTCTTCAACCCCTCCATGTTCGGCAGCTCCCTGCAGGACATCATCGCCATGCAGAAGGAGAAGTACCCGGAGCGGCAGCTGCCCTGGGTGCAGACGCGCCTCTCCGAGGAGGTCCTGGCCCTCAATGGTGACCAGACCGAGGGCATCTTCAGGTAGAGGCACCGGTGCCGGCCGGGGCTCACCATTGCATGGGGGCAGCCCATAATGGGTCATCCTATGGGGCAGCTGACGTGTTTCTCATCCCCATTCATCTACAGCTGCAGGAGACCGCCAGCTTGGTGACCTGCTCATGGGGAAGCCCATAACAAGGCATCCTATGGGGCAGCCACATCATGCCCCACATCCCCATTCACCCATGGCTGCAGGGGACCCCCAGCTTGGTGACCTTCTGATGGGGGAAGCCCATAACAAGGCATCCTATGGGGCAGCCCCATCATTCCCCACATCCCCATTCACCCATGGCTGCAGGAGACCCCCAGCATGGTGACCTTTTAATGGGGGGAGCCCATAACAAGTCATCCTATGGGGCAGCCCCATCATGCCCCACATCCCCATTCACCCATGGCTGCAGGAGACCCCCAGCATGGTGACCTTTTAATGGGGGGAGCCCATAACAAGTCATTCTATAGGGCAGCCACATCATTCCCCACATCCCCATTCACCCATGGATGCAGGGGACCCCCAGTATGGTGACCTTCTGATGGGGGGAGCCCATAACAAGGCATCCTATGGGGCAGCCACATCATTCCCCACATCCCCATTCACCTGTGGTTGCTGGAGCCCCCCAGCATGGTGACCTTCAGGAAGCCCATCACAGGTCACCTCCTTATGGGGCATCCAGCCTGTTCCCCATGTTCCTATTCACCTATGGCTGCAGGTGACCCCCAGCATGGTGACCTTCTGATGGGGGGAGCCCATAACAAGTCCATCTTATGGGGCAACCAACCTGTTCCCCACATTGCCATCCATCTATGGCTGGTGGAGAACCTCAGCATGGTGACCTTCTCATGGGGGAAGCCCATAATAAGTCATCCTATGGGGCAGCCACATCATTCCCCACATCCCCATTCATGTATGGTTGCTGGAGACCCCCAGGATGGTCATCTTATGGGGGAAGCCCATAACAGGTCACCTCCTTATGGGGCAGACAACCTGCGCCCCACATCCCCATAGGGGCCCTTCACCTCCTTGAGCAGCTCAACCTATCCTTGCTCCAAGACCATTGGGGGTTTCTCCACGTCAGGGTCGTGCCCATCCTTTGGTGTCCACCAAAGCCAAGCTCAGGTCTTGGGGTTTCCATGCCAACCTCACAGCAGGATTCCTCCTCCCCATGGGCAAAACCCAGGTCCCAAAACACCTCCAGCTCTTGGGCCCCACATGAGGGACCCACGGTGGGTCTGAGGCAGGTGGGGCCCCATCTCTTGCTTGACACCCACATCTCTTCCCCGTTCAGGGTCCCCGGTGACATCGATGAGGTCAACGCGCTCAAGCTCCAGGTGGACCAATGGAAGATCCCAACGGGCTTGGAGGACCCCCACGTTCCCGGTAGGACCTAGTTGGGGGGGTGCTGGATGAGAGTGGGGAGGTGCAGAGCCCCCACCCCATAGCAGGGCTCACATCTCCCCATGTCCCCCCTCCCGGTGCAGCCTCCCTGCTGAAGCTCTGGTACCGGGAGCTGGAGGAGCCGCTCATCCCCCATGAGTTCTATGAGCAGTGCATCACCCACTACGAGAACCCCGAGGCGGCCATCGCCGTGGTCCACTCCCTGCCCAGGATCAACAAGATGGTGCTGTGCTACCTCATCCGCTTCCTACAGGTACGGCCGGCACCCGCCGTGGGGCTCCCCATGGCTCTTGGGGGGTGCTCCATGGTATGGGGCTGCCCCATGGCTGGCAGTGCTCAAGGCCCCGTTGGAGCAGGCTGCTCCGGTTGAAGGTGTCCCCATGAAGGGCCGTGATGAATGAAGGTTGGGGGCAGGATCTCCATCGGTGATGCCCATGGGACATCCATGGGATCTCCATCGGTGATGCCCATAGGACATCCATGGGATCTCCATCGGTGATGCCCATAGGACATCCATGGGATCTCCATCGGTGACGCCCATGGGACATCCATGGGATCTCCATCAGTGATGCCCATGGGATCTCCATCCGTGATGCCCATGGGACATCCATGGGATCTCCATCAGTGATGCCCATGGGATCGCCATCGGTGATGCCCATAGGACATCCATGGGATCTCCATCAGTGACGCCCATGGGACATCCATGGGATCTCCATCAGTGATGCCCATGGGACATCCATGGGATCTCCATCAGTGATGCCCATGGGACATCCATGGGATCTCCATCAGTGATGCCCATGGGATCTCCATCCGTGATGCCCATGGGACATCCATGGGATCTCCATCAGTGATGCATGCCCATGGGATCTCCATCCGTGATGCCCATGGGACATCCATGGGATCTCCATCAGTGATGCATGCCCATGGGATCTCCATCCGTGATGCCCATGGGACATCCATGGGATCGCCATCGGTGATGCCCATAGGACATCCATGGGATCTCCATCAGTGATGCCCATGGGGCATCCATGGGATCTCCATCAGTGATGCCCATGGGGCATCCATGGGATCTCCATCGGTGATGCCCATGGGACATCCATGGGATCTCCATTGGTGACACCCATGGAACATCCATGGGATCTCCATCAGTGATGCCCATGGGCTCTGGTTCCCCCACAGCACCTTTGGAGGTGCCACCAAGCCAAGGACTGGGGTTTTGTCCACTTGAAGGACGTGGAAGGTGGTGGAGAAGTGGGACCTGTATCGACATCATGAGGGTGAGGGTTAGGGTTAGGGTTAGGGTTAGGGTTAGGGTTAGGGTTAGGGTTAGGGTTAGGGTTAGGGTTAGGGTTAGGGTTGGGTTAGGGTTAGGGTTAGGTTAGGTTAGGGTTTGGGTTAGGGTTAGGGTTGGGTTAAGCTTAGGGTGAGGGTGAGGGTTAGGGTTGCATCAGGGTTAGGGTTAGGGTTAGGATGAGGTTTAGGCTTAGGGTTAGGGTTAGGCTTGTGTCTAGGTTTACTCTTAGGCTTAATGTTAGGGTTAGGGTTAGGGTTAGGGTTAGGTTAGTGTTAGGGTTCAAACCAGGGCCAGGGCAGGGTCCTGCAGTCAGGTGGAGGCGACCTCTGGTACCCAAAGATACTGGGGATGATGGGGTGGAGAGCATAGGATGTCTGGACACCAGTGGTGGCGAATGGATGCTGACAGCCCATGGAGGCCACCATGGAGCAGCCCCCTGCTCCAGTGGATGGTGTCCGTGTTCATGGCAAGGGTTTGAACTGGAGGAGCTTTAAGGTCCCTTCAACCCAAACCATTCCATGACCCCATGAATGGGGTCCAGATCTGAGGTCCCATGGTCCTGGCCATCCCCAGGTCCCCTCTTTAGAGGTGGCTTCAGACCCTTCCACATCTCCATCACCTCCTCCAGAGCTCCAAAACACCCATAGAGGAGCCTGCCCATGTCCAGAGGTTCCCTTGCCCATGGTGGGGGCTTAGAACTGGATCATCCTCAACCTCCCTTCCAACCCAACGCGTTCCATGTGGCGATGCCCCCATCTCACCCCAAGTCCCATCAGCTCCACACAACCTCCCCATCCTGCCCCATAGGTGTTTGTGCAGCCGGGCAACGTGGCGGTCACCAAGATGGACGTCAATAACCTGGCCATGGTGATGGCCCCCAACTGCCTGCGCTGCCAATCGGACGACCCCCGGATCATCTTCGAGAACACGCGCAAGGAGATGTCCTTCATCCGGGTGCTCATCCAGCACCTCGACACCAGCTTCATGGAGGGCGTCCTATAGCACCCGCCACCCCAGGTGGCCCCCCCCACCTCCCACCCCACATGGACCCCACCAGAGGATGGGCCCCTCTGCAGTGAGACATGGGATCAACCAAGCCCCATCCTCACCATGGCACTGGTCACAGCGTGACCAGACGGAGGGGTTGGCCATGGTGGGGTCACCAATGGTTGGCCATGGTGGGGTCACCAATGGATTGGCCATGGTGGGGTCACCAAGGGGATGGCCATGGTGTGGTCACCAATGGATTGGCCATGGTGGGGTCACCAAGGGTTGGCCATGGTGGGGTCACCAATGGATTGGCCATGGTGGGGTCACCAATGGGTTGGCCATGGTGGGGTCACCAATGGATTGACCATGGTGGGGTCACCAATGGATTAGCCATGGTGGGGTCACCAAGGGATGGCCATGGTGGGGTCACCAAGGGTTGGCCATGATGGGGTCACCAATGGATTGGCCATGGTGGGGTCACCAAGGGTTGGCCATGGTGGGGTCACCAAGGGGATGGCCATGGTGGGGTCACCAAGGGATGGCCATGGTGGGGTCATCAATGGATGGCCATGGTGGGGTCACCAAGGGTTGGCCATGGTGGGGTCACCAATGGATTGGCCATGGTGGGGTCACCAAGGGGTTGGCCATGGTGGGGTCACCAAGGGGTTGGCCATGGTGGGGTCACCAATGGATTGGCCATGGTGGGGTCACCAATGGTTGGCCATGGTGGGGTCATCAAGGGATGGCCATGGTGGGGTCACCAAGGGGATGGCCATGGTGGGGTCACCAAGGGTTGGCCATGGTGGGGTCACCAATGGATTGGCCATGGTGGGGTCACCAAGGGGTTGGCCATGGTGGGGTCACCAATGGATTGGCCATGGTGGGGTCACCAATGGATTGGCCATGGGGGGCTCACCAAGGGGTTGGCCATGGTGGGGTCACCAATGGTTGGCCATGGTGGGGTCACCAAGGGGATGGCCATGGTGGGGTCACCAAGGGGATGGCCATGGTGGGGTCACCAATGGATTGGCCATGGTGGGGTCACCAATGGATGGCCATGGTGGGGTCACCAATGGATTGGCCATGGTGGGGTCACCAATGGATTGGCCATGGTGGGGTCACCAAGGGTTGGCCATGGTGGGGTCACCAATGGATTGGCCATGGTGGGGTCATCAAGATTTGGCCATGGTGGGGTCACCAAGGGGATGGCCATGGTGGGGTCACCAATGGATTGGCCATGGGGGGGTCACCAAGGGGTTGGCCATGGTGGGGTCACCAATGGATTGGCCATGGTGGGGTCACGAAGGGATTGGCCATAGTGGGGTCACCAAGGGATGGCAGCACCCATGGGACAGCTGAGGAGCATCCCATGGGCGACGCTTCCATCCATCCTGGGTGGTCATGGGTGGCAGCGAGGACCTGGTGGCATCTGAGCAGTGTTGGGGTCCATCCACATCAATGTTGGGGTTGGGTGGCTGGTTGAGAGCGGAGCTATGGGGCAGCCGTGGGGCAGGGAGGACCTCCAAGTGCTGAGCTGAGCCCATGGAGAAGGTGGCACCAGGGGACCAGAGGGACCAGGAGAGGCCCAGCCCATAGGGAAGGAGACCACTGGCACAACCAGAGCTGGGTGCACCCAAGGGTGGCGCTGGGGGGTCCCTTTGGGTGCTGGGGTCCCTTTGGGTGGCCCATTGAGGCCGGGTGCCCACCTTTGGGTGCTGGAGGAGCTGGTGGGTAGGTCACTGCCTGCACACATCATGGTGACCATCCCCACACCGCACCCATCTCACTGCGTGTTGGCACCCAAAGGACCTGTTTGAGCACCTCCTGTGTCTGCTGGACCCATCCCAGGACCCATCATCTGCTCCTGGCCTTGAAAGACCCATCCTGACCCCCATCATCTCACCCTGCTTCTCCTGGACCCGTCTTGGTGGCCATCATCACCTCCTGCTCCTGCTGGACCCATCTTGGTGCCCATCATCTCACCCTGCTTCTCCTGGACCTGTTTTGGTGCCCATCATCTCCTCCTGGTCCTGCCCAACTCATTGTGGTGCCCATCATCTCTGCTGGACCCATCTTGGTGCCCATCATCTCTGCTTGGCCCTGCTGGACCCATCTTGGTGCCCATCATCTCTGCTTGGCCCTGCTGGACCCATCTTGGTGCCCATCATCTCTGCTTGGCCCTGCTGGACCCATCTTGGTGCCCATCATCTCTGCTTGGCCCTGCCGGACCCATCTTGGTGCCCATCATCTCTGCTTGGCCCTGCTGGACCCATCTTGGTGCCCATCATCTCTGCTTGGCCCTGCTGGACCCATCTCGGTGCCCATCATCTCTGTTTGGCCCTGCTGGACCCATCTTGGTGCCCATCATCTCTGCTTGGCCCTGCTGGACCCATCTTGGAGCCCATCATCTCCCCATGCTCCTGCTGGACACATCTCAGCATCTGTCACATCTTTCTGGTCCTGCTGGATCCTTCTTGGCACCCACCACGTCCTGGTTCTCCTGGAGCCATCTGGGTGCCCATCACCTCCACTTGGTCATGCCCAAGCCATCTTGGTACCCACCATCCCCTCCTGGACCCATCTTGGTGCCCATCATCTTCTGGTTCTCCTGGACCTGTCTTGGCATCCATCATCTCCTTCTGCTCCTGATGGACCTTCCCTGGTGCCCATCTCTACCCTACTGAACACATCTTGGCATTTGTCAAGTCCTGCTGGGCCCTTCTTGGAGCCCATCACCTCCTCCTGGTCTTGCCTGACCCATCTTGGTGCCCATCATCTCTGCTTGGCCCTGCTGGACCCATCTTGGTGCCCATCATCTCTGCTTGACCCTGCTGGACCCATCTTGGTGCCCATCATCTCTGCTTGGCCCTGCTGGACCCATCTTGGTGCCCATCACCTCCTCTTGGTCCTGCCGGACCCATCTTGGTGCCCATCATCTCCCCATGCTCCTGCTGGACCCATCTCGGTGCCCATCATCTCTGCTTGACCCTGCTGGACCCATCTTGGTCCCTTTTATCCCCTCCTGCTGAGGAGATCTTAGCAGCCATCATCTACTGCTTCTCCTGGACCCACCTTGGAGCCCATCATCTCCTCCTGGTCCTGCATAAACCGCCTTGGTGCCCATCATCAGCTTGGCCCTGCTGAACCCATCTTGGTGCCCAGTATCTCTACCCTACTGGACCCATCTTGGCATGTTGTGTCCTCCTGGACCTGTCTTGGAGCCCATCATCTCCTCCTGATCCTGCATAAACCATCTTGGCACCCATCATCTCACCCTGCTTCTCCTGGACCTATTTTGGTGCCCATCACCTCCTCCTGGTCCTCCCCAACTCACTGTGGTGCCCATCATCTCGGCTTGGCCCTACTGGACCCATCTTGGTGCCCATCTTCTCCTACTTCTGGCCAACTCATCTTGGCACCCATCATGTGCTTGGCCCTGATAAACACATTTTGACACCCATCATCTCCTGTTGGACCCACCTTGGAGCCCATCATCTCTACTTTACCCTACTGGACCCATCTTGGCATGTTGTGTCCTCCTGGACGTATCTTGGAGCCCATCATCTCCTCCTGGTCCTGCATAAACCATCTTCCTGCCCATCATCTCTGCTCGGCCCTGCTGGACCCACCTTGGTGACCATCATCTCCTCCTGGTCCTGCATAAACCATCTTGGTGCCCATCATCTGCTTGGCCCTACTGGATCCACCTTGGTGCCCATCATCTCATGGTCCTACATAAACCACCTTGGTGCCCATCATCTCCGCTTGGCCCTACTGGACCCATCTTGGTACCTGCCATGTCTTCCTACTCCCAGTAGACACATCTTGGTGCCCATCATCTCATTCTGCTCCTTCTGGACCCACCTTGGCACCCATCATCTCCTCCTGCTCCTTCTGGACCCACCTTGGCACCCATCATCTCCTCCTGCTCCTTCTGGACCCACCTTGGCACCCATCATCTCCTCCTGCTCCTTCTGGACCCACCTTGGCACCCATCATCTCCTCCTGCTCCTTCTGGACCCATCTTGGCACCCATCATCTCCTCCTGCTCCTTCTGGACCCCCTTTGGCACCCATCATCTCCTCCTGCTCCTTCTGGACCCATCTTGGCACCCATCATCTCCTCCTGCTCCTTCTGGACCCACCTTGGCACCCATCATCTCCTCCTGCTCCTTCTGGACCCATCTTGGCACCCATCATCTCCTCCTGATCCTTCTGGACCCACCTTGGCACCCATCATCTCCTCCTGCTCCTTCTGGACCCACCTTGGCACCCATCATCTCCTCCTGCTCCTTCTGGACCCCCTTTGGCACCCATCATCTCCTCCTGCTCCTTCTGGACCCACCTTGGCACCCATCATCTCCTCCTGCTCCTTCTGGACCCATCTTGGCACCCATCATCTCCTCCTGCTCCTTCTGGACCCCTTGCACCATCATCTCCTCCTGCCTGGACCCCTTGGCACCCATCATCTCCTGCTCCTTCTGGACCCACCTTGGCACCCATCATCTCCTCCTGCTCCTTGTGAACCCACTTTGGCACCCATCATCTCCTCCTGATCCTCTGGACCCACCTTGGCACCCATCATCTCCTCCTGCTCCTTCTGGACCCACCTTGGCACCCATCATCTCCTCCTGCTCCTTCTGGACCTACCTTGGCACCCATCATCTCCAGCACCCCCCCCAGCACCCTCATCCACCACCCCCTTCCCATTCCTTCCCCATGGCTGCCCCCCAAGTGCCTTCAGCTCCACCCAGGGCGAAGCAGAACCATGGGGGGCACCCAGTAGGTGGTGGTAGTTGCACCCAATGGGTCTGAGGAGCACCCAGTGGGTCTGAGGAGCACCCAATGGGTCTGAGGAGCACCCAGTGGGTCTGAGGAGCACCCAATGGGTCTGAGGAGCACCCAATGGGTCTGAGGAGCACCCAGTGGGTCTGAGGAGCACCCAATGGGTCTGAGGAGCACCCAGTGGGTCTGAGGAGCACCCAATGGGTCTGAGGAGCACCCAATGGGTCTGAGGAGCACCCAGTGGGTCTGAGGAGCACCCAATGGGTCTGAGGAGCACCCAGTGGGT